CCTGGCCCTGTCCTTAACTTCTGTGAAAAGTTTCTAGCTTCAGTTATTTTTTTTTTTTTTCTTGGTACCCTGAATCGAACTCAGGACCTTGCACTTTTGAGGAAGGCATGGTGCCACTGAGCTAAATCCCCAGCCCATTCTAGCCTCAGTTCTTGTGCTGTCATGTAAGGTTCATCCTGACAGGTGCTGAAGACTGCCATGCTCAACTTTAGACCCATTGTACTGAGTCCTGATTAAACTTTTTTTGTTGTTTTGATGTGTAAGTAATATTAAAATACTGGCACCTTATACTCAATTCTCTGAGTATTAGCAAGTGTGCATTAGTGTTTCTATAAAATTATCAAATGTGTTTTTTTTTAAATTGTAGCCTCGAGGTAACCGAAAACAAGGTGCATCATGTATCATCACGAAAGCAATCAGAGGTAAATATCGCTTATTTTTTTTATGGTATAGCTGGAAGTTTCTCTTTTTTTTTTTGGCACTGGGGATCGAACTCGGATCCTTGCGCTTGAGCAGCAGGCGGTGAAACCACTGAGCTGAATCCCTGGCCCTAGCTGGAAGTTTCTCTACATTTCATTCATAACTGTGCTATTTTAGAAAGTTTAGGGATTTTTTTGTTTTTGTTTTTTTTGGTACCAGGGATTGAACTCAGGTCCTTGCGCTTATGCAGCAGGCGGCAAAACCACTGAGCTAAATCCCTGGCCCAAGTTTAGGGATTTTGAAGTATGTTCTTTGGACTTCTCATGGAGCCCAATGAAACAAAGTAATGTATGTGTTATCTGAGTTTAATTTTACATACATTTATATAAACAGATGCGTATATACGTATATAGATTTTCATGCACACATATGTTTAATGCTAAAGTATAGGAGAGGTTTAATCATCATGGGTGTTAGAAGAACTAGCATTCAATTTTCATTATCACAGATGGTTTTTCAAAGTTTAACATTTAGAAAATACAAGGAATAAAAATTCGTTATAGAAAATTTAGAAAATATAGATAACCATGAGTTAGAATTATTTTTTCCTCATTTTACAACCTAAAGATAATCTGTTGTGTTTGGGACTTTTTTTTCTGTTGATGTATACCTAGCTGTAAACACAAGTGTATATATACATATATATTCTAAACATTATTATTTTGTGGTTATTGTTATATTGGGGTTATTGTTATTTTGTGATTCTGAAGATTGAGCCGAGGGCCTCTTGCGTGCTAGGCAAGTGCTCTGCCACTGAGCTACATCCCAGCCCTACAGCATTTTTTGACAGTGTGAGAGATTTACTTTCCTATTTTAGGTATTGTTCTTATTTATATATCTTTGGTTTAATTTTTATACAAATTGTTTAGTTTTAAAGGATAGTTACTGTGACTCCTCTCCATGGTTTCATTAAAGCTTTTTGGATTAAACTTGACATCTCTAACCACTTTTATTTTTTGTAGTTAGAAATACTTCAAAGTTCTAACACATAAACTTAGAATTAATATAAACAAATATGTGACCATGTAAAAGTTACAGTGTATATGTTGTTCTCATTTTTAGGAGTTGTGTTCTCAGTATTTGGTTTTATAATGACTCAGTCTGCAGTGTATTTTAGATTTTTCATCTGTAAACCTAATTTGAAAATGATTCGTAAAGGACAACTGATTTATATTTGGTTTTGCTGTTTCTTTGTATTACAGATCACTTATTATTCTTACGCCAATACATCTGGTACAGGTGAGACTTCAGTCCATCGTAGAAACAGTGAAAATCAAATACAAACGTGTTATTTATAATCACGTTTTCACAGTTGAACCCCAGATCATGATATAGATGGTGACATTCAGGTGAGCCCATTTCAGAATAGAGATTTCAAATGTTCTGGCCTGAGCTGAAGCTGTCTCAGTAGATGTGGTAATTTCTATCACCTTCATCGTTATTAGGAATATTTCATGATGACCCTGCTTCTGATGATGAGTCCTGGGCCTTATCTTGAATGCCCACGTGATGGGTCTGTTGATGTCCTCCTTTTTAAAAAACACTTCCTTATTGTCCCATTAGCTCTCTTGTGGTCAGTATTCAGTTGCTGTGCAGCTGCAAAGTTTCTTTGGGTTTCATTCTTGTGTGCTTTCGAACTCTTGAATGTGAAGTATCTACTCAGGCATAGTGTTGATTTTCAGCTTTAAAATTAGAAACCTGTGGGGATTGTTTTATAGGCTTATTTACTACAGGTTGGTTTTTCCTAACCCTCAAAGCCCCAGGGTCGCGTGGTCCGTGGAAGAGCCCTTTCCTTGTGTCTCGCACCCAGGCAGTGTGTCTGCTTGTAGTGGCTGTGTGTGTCTCTGTCCATAGTTGGATCATTTTGGCTTGTTTTTGGGACCTAGTGCATTACAGGGTGAGAGAGGGTGGAGAGAGATGGAGGGAGAGAGGGTGACTGGAGGGAGGGGGAACCTAGAGTGGTTCTCAGCAGCCTGGCTTGTGTGGGTGGAAGAGGCGTCTGCTCCTGTTGCTGCTCTGCAGTCCCCTTCATCTCTGTCAGGTGGAGGACGCAGGTCGCGTCTTCTCTGTGGGTGCCTGCAGGTCAGGCCTCGTAGGTAAGTTCCTGTCTCCCTGCTTGAACTATTCATCTTGATCATGGTGCCCTTTGTGAGTGCATCATGGGTTGTTACCTGATCTTCCTCACGACATGTTGTTTTCAAAAATTGCACTTCAGTTAGCTCTGTTGAGTTTGAGATGATTAACCCTGAGTGTTTTGGGGCCAGTATTTGTTACAAATGACTTACTTTTTTGGTAATGGGAGTTAAACACGGGGCCTTCACACTCAGCTACATGGCTTCACAGCTACTCAGCTTCACACTCACCCTGGCTCTTTTTGAATTTTTATTGTGAGACAGGGTCTCACTAAACCACTAAGTTGCCCAGGCTGGGCTTGGCCTTGTGATCCTCTTGCGTCAGCTGCCCGAAGTGTTGGGATCACAGACAAGCACCACCATGCCTGACTGGTTTTTTCTTTCTTTTCTTTTGTATAAGTTTTTTTCAAAACTGGGTGCAGTGGCTTATGGCTGCCATCCCCGCTACGCAGGAGGCTGAGGCAGGAGAATTTCCAGCTCTAGGCCAGCCTGGGCAACTTAGTGAGACCCCATCTCAAAAAAAATCCCCACAAAAAACCTTGTATTTTATTTAATTTTCAAATATTGTAACATACTGAAAATTATAGACAATAATAAAACTGTTGGTGCCTTGTATGTGAATTTGAATTAAGGCACCTGTTGCTATTTTGCTCTGTAGGTTCAGATACTCCTCTCTTTTTACAGAAGATGCTACATCTCAAGGCCTCTTTCTCCATGTTTTTGTGCCACTTTCCCTTCCAGAGGAATTATCCTAATTCATACATGTTTCATGTGTTTTTATATTTCTGTAACTGTCTTAATGTAAATATTTGTGCTGTAAAAATGAGCCTAAATGTACCAAATGTAATTGTTTTTATTGTATTTTGTGTTTTCCTTTCTTTTTTGTTTTTTTGAGTTAGAATCTTGCTCTGTAATTCAGGCTGGCCATGAATTTTCAGCGATCCTCCTGCCTCAGCCTCCTGAGTGCTGGGATTACAGGCCTGTGCCACCACCCCAAGCTAGTATTTTGTGTTTTCTGATTTCTGCAATGTATTTTTGCCTTCCTTTCATGTGATCATTTTCTTTAGTCTTCTTTTCCATCTATTTCCTTGATCTCTTCAGGTGTCAGTCCTCAAGTTTCTTGTGTCTCCTACCTCACTTATTGCACATATGCAGTTTCCCTGTGTCTTTTGTGGATGGTTTGTGGTGATCTTAGGTGTGAGTATTCCCGTGTCATCCCCCCTTGGATACAGTGCAGGTATGGGCTCTTGATTTTTTATAGGTGATTTCATTTCCATCTTGCATAGCCCGAGGTTCTAGGCAGAGATGAGAGGCCTGGGAGGCTCTGGACCCTGGTGAGGCGTTCCTTGTCCTCGTTGCTGGAGTGGGCCTTGGGCAGCCTCCCCTGGGAGGGCCCCACTCAGCCCTGTCCTCCTGGTCCAGCTGCTCATCTCTTCTGTCTGCCAAGGCCTTTTTTCGGATGTTGTCTTTTCTCTTGGCCAGTTCTAGCTTTCAGTTACCTTTTCATCACTGGTGCTTGGAAATTTCTCTTTTTTGTGTGTTTAACTCCAAACTAGAATTTGTGTTGGTTGAAGTTGAGCCAGAATTTTGAGGTGGTTGTAGGTATAAGCTCTCTTTGTTCTGTAATTGGTGTCCTAGATAACTTCTTTTTTCCCCCAGTGCTGGCCTTGTCCATGCAGGGCAGGCTCTCTGTTACTGAGCTGCATTTTCAGCCTTTAAAAACAATCTTAAAAAAAGGTTTTCTTTTTACACAGGGTCATGCTAAGTTGCCCAGGCTGGCTTTGAACTTGTTGGGGTTTTTTTTGTTTTTTTTGGTACCAGGGATTGAACTTGGGTCTTTGAGCTTTCGCAGCAGGTGACGAAACCACTGAGCTAAATCCCCGGCCCTAATAGGGCTTTTGGGGGTTTTTTTGGTATTGGGGAGGGGGCCTTGAACTTGTGATCCTCCTGCCCCAGCCTCCCAAGTAGCTAGGATTATGTGTGTGAGCTACTGTGCTGTGCCCTGGCTTTTTCCTAGAAGGGACATTACATTTATACCTTTGAAACTCTGTTTTCTAGAAATAGAGAAATGTCCATGGTAAAATTTCAGATATGAGGTTAGTAACTTTCGATTTAGGGTTTGCTAACATTCATATTTTTTATTCTGAGGGGAGAAAAAAAATCTGTATCTCTCCCTGTAGATACATGTGGTATTTATAATATTTACCTCCTTGTGTGTGGCTTTCATGCTTAGATTATAAGCAAGCTAAAGTGTTGTGGTTGGTTTCAGCCCTGCACCTTTTTTGCTCCCTGATGGCCTGGTCCGCTTGGTGAATAAACAGATAAACTGGCATTTGGTACTTGCAAGGTAAGGACGTGTAAAATTCATATAACGTGTTTCTGTCTGAGTTGGCTTTAATTGTTATTATGGTCTTCCATTTTGGGGTCTTTGAGACTTGCATTCTCAGCTTTTATCCTGGGTGAATTCTTTGTTGCATATGATCAGTATTGCCTAGAGATGTTTATTCAAGCTATACTGAGTAATTTTTGTGCTTTTTTGCCTATATAAGCATCTAATTATAAGGTTGAAAGATGGATAATTAGCAGCTAGTAAAAAGCAGGGCGGAACATGAACTCGGAAGGTCTGCCTGCCGAACCCATCCTGTCAGTCCCTAATTCATAGCTTCAGCTACTGAAGGCCAAAGACAAGAAATGACAGTTTCCTTAGGCAACGAGATTTTTTATCCTATGATTAATAAACAAAACGATTTCATATACCATGTCTTCCCTCAGTGAAAAAGTCAGATGCTGTTTGTAAGCAATGTTGATAATGAAGCATAAGTAAGTATGAAACAAACCATATGTCAACATAATGTCCAACAATAACATGTAAAGAAATGTTTAATCCTTTGAAAAAAGATGGATAGCTAAAGCCACAAAATTTAAAAATTATTTTAACTTTTTAAAATAATTTAATCCATATTGAAGATATGAAATGAGTTGCTTTTGGTTTGGGGTTTACAATGTAAATATTCACAATGGGTTTGTTTCCATTCTTTCTTCCCTGTGACAGCAACGGGAAGCTTCTGGCTGCTGTTCAGGATCAGTGTGTGGAGATCAGGTAACCGCTAATATTGTTCTCCTGTGAGGGTTTCTATGAGAAAACCTCTACCTGATGGAAAGGAACTAAGTTTTTAATCTTTTTTTTTTTTTCGGTACTGGGGATCGAACTCTGGACCTTGTGCTTGAGAGGCAGGCGGTGGAACCACTGAGCTGCATCCCCAGCCCTGTCTTCAAAGGCAGCATATTTAAAATGATTGGACTACAGAATCACGACTTTTGTGTAGTGTCAAACACCAGCTAAAGGGTGATGCTTTCTTGAGTTGTCTCATATTTCTCCTTCCCCAGATCTCTGTGGTCTCCTGCATAAACCACTTTCTCAGTCAATAAGGCTCCTCTGGAGCTTCGGAAGTCACTCCTGTTTGACCAGTTACTACGTGAGCTAGCCATGCTCGGGAAGGAGCAGGAAAGAGTGAGGCAGCTTTGCTCTGCTGGGACAGGGCTGTAGATCAGACCCAGGTGTGTAGGAGGTCACGGTCATGCCCAGCATGCTGTCCGACCGAGACGCTCAGGGCTATCACGTACTCGGGAGACCTGGCAAGGCTGGAAGATTGCAAGTTCAAGCAACTTAGTGACTCAGTGAGACCCTGGCTCAAAGAGAAGAGGGGTGGGCTGGGGATGTAGCTTAGCGAGAAGGGCCAGGGTTCAATCCCCAGTACCAACAACAAGAAAAAAAGGCCAGAAGTGAGGCCCTGGGTTCAATCCCTAGTACCAAAAAAATTAAAATACGAAAGCAAGACTTCTCTAAGTTGTGCTTTCCATGTATTTTATTTTTTAAAATACATCAGTTATGAAAGAAATAGCAACTAACTTAGAAAAAGGACACCGGAGAAGACTGGTGGAGATATTTTAGGTGTCAGAGGTGGGTTATGCCTTTGGAGGCGGAGATTGATGTTTAGATTTGGGATGGAAAATTTGACCAAGAGTTTCATGGAATTGGCTAATGAAAATTCGATGAAAGAGTCCTTTGCGAAAGCTTGAAAATGCGTAGTAAAAAGGCTCATGTTGGGCCAGGGATTTAGCTCAGTGGTTCTGCTTCCTGCCTCGAAAGCATAAGGTCCCAAGTTCGATCCCTGGTACCAAAAAAAAAAGGGCGGGGGGCTCATGTGTGGATGCTGCCTTTTCCCACAGATGGGTTGAGAACAGTCCTTTAAGTCCCGTAACTGACACAGCTCTCTGTTGTTTTCCTCAGTGCTGAGACAGTGCTGGGCAGCAGTGTGCACTGTCCCTTCCGCCCTGGCAGCAGTGCAGTGAGCGTGTAGGTTTTGCTCTTTCCCTCTCTTGAGATGCACAAGCAAGCACTGCATGGTTCAGTGGCCTGTCTGAGGGTTTGAGCTCAGCCCTTCTAACTTGGGTGTTTGCACTCTTTCCACGAAAATCCGGCATTTCGTTCATGTTGTGCCGCCTGTGCTCCCCTTTCTGTTTCCCATGCACAGATCCAGCCCCGCTGATTACCAGGAGCTAGTGAGGGGCTGTGCGGTCTGCAGCCCTGGTACTGCTGTGCTTCATGGAGCAGGAGCTGCTTTTCCCCCAGCATGTCACATTCCCATGAACACAAACAATTAGTGTTTACATTTACTGACTAAATGGGGTGCAAATGGAGTAAGGGAAGCAGATGCTGAGAGGGGCTGCAGACACCCCACAGTGTAGTCGCTTTTGTCAGATGAATGTGACATCCACACTGATGTTACAGTAAGCTAGAGGAAGTGTTTTTCAGCAAAGATGAGGAATAATCAGCAAAGAAGGGAGATTCCAAAAGTAAATGCTATGGATATTGCTTGTCTCTGCATTTTGTTTTTTTTTGAGATAGGGTCTCACTGTATATTTCAGGCTGGACTTGAATTCTCTCTGTAGCCCAAACTGGCCTCGATCTCATGGCCATCCTCCCGCCTCAGCCTCCTGTGTGCTGGGATGACAGGCCTGTGCCACCGTGCCTGGCTCCTGTCCCTGAATAAGTTCTGTGACAGTTTGACAAAGCCAGATGTGTGTCTTCCTCCCTCTTCTCCCCAGCAAAAATAGCAACAATTTTTTGGTGGTTATATTAAGGAAGAAAATAATGAACTTTCTTAAGGTCTAGTTTCTCACCTCATCCTTTCTCTGAGCTGTGAGGTCACTATTACCCCCCCCCCCCCCGCCCCTTATTTAAAGGAAAGTGAAACTTAGGCTGAATCTTTTGTCCAGATTATACAGATAGAGCTGGGAGCAGGCCAGCTTCACGTCAGAGACCATGTCCTTGCTGAGTGTGGTGGTACACGCTGGTGATCTCAGCCACTTGAGAGGCTGATGCAAGAGGATCTCAAGTTCAGGGCCAGCTGGGGCAATTTAGCAAGATCATGCTTCAAGATACAAAAGTAGAAGAAGCCAGGGGTGGTGGTGCACCCTGAGAGACTGAGGCTGGAGGATTGCAAGTTTGAGCCCAGCCTGGGCCATTTAGCAAGACCCTGTTTCAGAATAAAAAGGGCTGGGAGTGTAGCCCAGTGTGAAGGGCCTGGATTCAGTCTCTAGCACAGCAGCTGAACAGAGCGGAAGATGAGACCACACAGCATGACAGATGGCTTTTCTGTCCTGTCGTACTTGGGGGCTGAGCCAACCAATGTGTTGAAGAAATTTATTCCCATATTTATAATTGTCTTTAGTCATAATAAATAATATTTTAAAAATCACTAAATATTAAGAATCTTTAAAATTTGTTTTAAAAGTAATGTTTAGTCATTTTATAAATATTAGAAAGTGCAGGTAAGTAGAAAGAAGTAAGTAACTACAAATTGCCTATTGTTCTACTATATAGAGTTGTGTACTATTAGTATTTTGGTGTGTGTTCTTTGAACCACATCTGCATGTGCGTGTATATTTATGTATTTTAATGGAATACTACTACTATATATTCTGCGTATTGTATTTGTCACCAACATGTGAATTACTTCTATAATTTATAAATTTGATGCATATCCTTTGATTTGAATCCTCTGGGTAATCTTTGAAAATTAATATATTGTCAACAGGCTTCTGTGTCACATGTAGTAATCACACAATATTTCATTGCAGGCACATAGCAAAATTTAGTTAATCTTCTTATGTCAGGTGTATTTTTCTCTTTTATATATGAGACTGCATTAATTTCCTTGATATCTGTGTATATCTGTAATTATTTTCTGGGGATAACGTTATAGAAGTGGAACTGGTAGGTCTATTGCCATAGACATTAAGGTTTTGGAAATTGTTAGTTATTTTCTAGAAGGTTTACCCGTTTTCATTTACTACTTCGGTATGTATTTCAGGTTCACAGATTTTAAATAACTCATTTAAATATGCTCACCTGTTCAGGTCATTTGATCTGATAGACTGAGACCTTTTCCGTTTGTGACCACACTGAGTCAGACTTGTGGTTCTGTCTGCACAGCGACAGGGAAGGTTTTCCAGCCTGGATCCCTCGATTTAGAAGCTCTGGGCCAGGGTCAGGCGTTGCTGTAGTGTTGAAGCCCTGCTACGCTCAGCTGTCCTGTGTGGTCACACCCTGGCCTCGCCCGTTTCTAGTAAGAAGGCTGGAGGGAAAGGCTGTCCCTACTGAGAGTCTCATTTGAGGCACTGAGCCACCTCTGAGAGAGATGAAATGGTTTAGAGTGTTTAGTGTGGCATCAAAAAGCTGCATAATCTATAGTATGTGCAGTGTCTTTTTTCCCCTTTTTTTGTGGTGCCCAGGATTGAACCCAGGGGCTTGTACTGAGCTGCATCCCCAGCCCCTTTATATTTTTTTTTAAATTTTGAGACAGATCTTGCCACATTTGCCAGGCTGACCTGGAACTTGCAATCCTTCAGCCTCAGCCTCCCAGAGGGGTGGGGTTATGGGCCTGTACTGCCATGCCTTATGGACTCACACAATAGTTGTTAGTGTGACACTGTTGTCTTAATTTTGCATATATTTTTTAGGTCTGCAAAAGATGATTTTACGTCTATTATTGGGAAATGTCAAGGTAAGAGTTTCCAAAATATTTTTAGAAAGAAAATTTCAAATCTATATTACTTTATAATCTTTATTAAATTAGAATAAATTTTAAATAAATATTTGTTAAGGATTAATATGGCTGTTTATTGAAAGTTTTAAAAATTGTAACTGATTTTTCTTAATTCCTTGAATATTTTGCATTTTGGGTGGATTTGAAATTTAAACTTTTTAAAATGTCTAAGCCAGTTTGGGGATAAAATATTTGTAAGTATCTACAGTCTTTTATTTTGGTTTTAGTATAAACATATTTAGTTGTAAGTCAAGTTCTTTGATCTATTTAGCAAAAGTTTATTTGAGTGTGTAATATGAAGCATGATGAAAACATAGTGAATGCTTACAGTAAAGGGTGCATTGTCATCAGTCCCTCTCAAAATCCTCCCCCTTGCTTCACACACACTCGTCCCACTGTCCTCGCCACTTCCTGCAGCAGCTCTGGAGTCCTCTTTCCTGAGGGTCTTTAGCTGCGCTGTCCTGGGTGCTTCGGTGTCCTAAATGGATCAAAACGTCTCCCTTTCATGGAGTCATTTCATTATGACTTTTGGGAAGAGCCGGAAGTCACACAGTGCCAGATCTGGTGACTAAGGTGGATGAGGACACAGCCGTGGGGTTTTTCCGAGCTAGCTTTCCAGTGGATGGTGCTCGGCAGCAGCAGTCACCGTATCTCTGACCACTCCTTGTAAAAACCCTCAGGAAAGAGGACTGCAGAGCTGCTGGAGAAAGTGGCAAGGATGGTGGGATGAGTGTGTTGGAACTAAGGGGAGGATTTGGAGGGAGATTAATGGCAATGTGTCCTTTAGTGTGCTACGTTGAAAAATGTTTTATTCAATCGTGATATTTTTTTCTTTGTAATTTTTGATCACACCTTGTATGTGTATGAACCATCTTTCAGGGTGCTTGCAGTGTGATTGTGAGTGAAAAGGGTGAGCCTCTCTGAAGCATGTAGTAAGGGGCTGGGAACAAGACAGTCCCCTAGGTCGCACTCCCGTGATCTCCTCCCTTCAGCTCTGCCCGTCCTTTGAATGCTGCCCTTGAATTATGAATCTAGGGATTAATCCACCGATGCACTTAGGCCTTTCCTGATTCATTTACCTTTCAAAAGCCCCATCTCTGATTCCAGGAATCTTGGGGGACATTTTAGATCCAAACTATAACAGAAACTCAGGGGAGGAAATAATTTGGAGGACTCTATTAGGTAAACAGACTTGTTACCTCAGTTTCAGTTGCAGATCAGCAGTTCCTGCGTCTGCCCTTGTGCTGGTTAATAGCGTGGCCACAGTAGGAGTCAGATTGGTGCTATCGCAGGCACTGCGATGATGACATAGTGCTCTTCCTGTGTGCAGGCACCATGCGGAGTCCTTTATGTGTATCTTCTCATTTAATCAAAGAAAATAGCCTATGTATTTCAGCTTAAAGCGGTGTTAGGATAAAATAAATATTTGGCAGTGAAAGAGGACAGGGTGGGGGTACCAGCGATTTTGCAAGCTGCAGCAGGGGGATGCAGAGGACCCCTCTTCCCGTCTAATGCACTGTTAGTGGCTTAGGGCCAGTTTCCTTCTCAGCTTTGTCTTCGCAGCCAACTCGATGGATCAGGACAGTACAAGGCACCCTGGGATTGTGTGTGGGTGGTGCTGGGCCCAAGGCTCCGGCCTCTCGGATGCTAGCACTCACCTAGTGCTGTCCCGAAGAATTACCACCCCAGCCCAAAAGATCAAGTACTTCGACAGTTCTTTGAGTAGCTCTGTGAATGGGGATATTAATTCTGTAGTATGCCAGAGTCGTTAGTCTTGTGCGGTTTTACCTGCAGTGAAGATAGAGCATCACGAAGTCCTCAAGGAGCTTTCTTTATGCCTAGCATGTATCGTAACTTCATAGCAGACGCAGCGCTTCTACATATTTACAGAAATGTGCCCCACCTTTCATAATCTACTCCTGCTCTGGCACCCAGATGTCCTAGAACCTTTGTCTGTAGGTCGTCAAGCCAGAAAGTGAGACATTTTCTTCCTTTTTCCGTCTCTCTTTGATGAGTACTTGTTAGGCAGTCATGGCATGCCAGGCCCTGTTCTAGGCCCCATAAATACAGTGGGGAACAGGATGTAGCTCCTCGGTGGAAGAGCTTGTGGTGCAGCTATGGGAGAGAGCATACCTGGCTCACTGTACTTGCACTGAGTGTACAGTGGGGCAGAGGTCCGCTTGGTGTTCCTGATCCTCCATCTGTGCATGGGCTTCCTGCTCCATGCCCACTCCGCAGCCCTGGCATCCCGAGTTCAGGCTCAGCATGTTTTACCCAGTTTCTCACCACAGTGTCTGCTGATGAGGTTTTCTTGTGTGTGCCTGTCATTCATCCCCACTTTACACTCCTTGCCAGGTTGGGGTGTGTGTGTATGTGTGTGGGGGCAGGGTCCAAACCCAGGGTCTGCGCATGCTGAGCAGCTGGTGCAGCACACCCACACCCCAGTCCCAAACTGATCACTTTAAATGAGGGTTCTTCCAGCTTTCCCTCCTCTGACTCTGCTGGGTCCTTGATGCATAACTCTGGCCAAGTTCCCATTTGTGAGATTTGGATCCTCGGGGCTCCCAAAGGTGCACTGGTAGCTTGTGCTGCTTTCAGGAGCAGCAGAACTTGAGGAGTGAGGCTGGAGGGAGGAAGCTGGGTTGCTGGGGAGCCCCTTCAAAGGGGGTGGGGCCTGGCCTCTTCCCTCTTCTCTCTCTGCTTTCTGGCTGCCGTGAGGAGAGCGACTTCACCCCTCAGACCTCTGTGTGCTGCCTGCCATGACGTCCCCATACCACAGGCCCAGAGCCACAGGGCCAGCGACCACAGGCTGGGTCCGGGATCCACGAGGCTCAGTTACTGGGTCACAGTGGCGGGAAGCTGACTACTACATTGTCCTAGTCTCTCTTTTATTATTTGTAATATGGACATAATTTTAGAGAGTGGGTCGTGAGAAAGTATATGAGGAAATGTGTGTAAAACTTCACATACCCGATACAGTGAGTGCGTAGGTGGTGGTTAATGTCATCATGTGAGGATGGTGTTATTGTTCCTGGTGCTGTGATTCTGCCTCAGATCTCCACTGGCTTGCTGTTGACTGTGCAGTGTGGGCCTTCCTCTGACTCAGCACACAGGGCCTTTCTCAGCCCTCAGGGTCTGTGAGATTTCCCCGCTGTGTGCTGTGTTCTAGTGCAAAGCCCACGCGGTTTTCCAGTGCCATCGTGCTTTTCAGAAGCCCCCCTTGCGGCTTCTCAGGGCGTGCGTCAGGCCCGTGTATGTTGGGGCAGGGCAGCCTCTCCTCCTGCCCTCTTCCCCACACTTGGAGATCTCCGTGTTCCATTGGCGCTGTGTGTGCCTGCATCGCACACCTACTCAAGGTGGCTTTCTTTCATTTCTCATTGTGGGTTTGCAAATCAGCAGTTAGGCTGTAAATCTTCTGAAGGAAAGCTTCTCTCTGACTCAGCTTTTAAGAACCATTCCTGGTGCCTTGACCCTATCGAGAAGGCTGTGGTACATGTGTGCTAATCAGGTTATTTCCATCAATGAACATATGAAGAAAGTCTGTTTGCCTATTCCTGTTGGTTAATTTTAGAAATTCATGGGAGTATGCATGTATGTATGGTATGTAATGTGTGCATATGCATCTGTTTACACATACACTTATGAATAATTGTTACGGTGTTCAGGCTGTTACTCGTGTATACAGACTGGCATTGGAACAATACAGGTGCTTAAGAAGCCCTGTTTGTATAGTAGTTTTTAAGTTTTATGTTTATGAGTCCATGTGTGCAGTGCACAGTGATCACGTTCCTCATGGGGCGTCAGTGCGTGCACAGTACACATCTTAACTCTTTCCGCTCCTTCCTCCTGCATTGTCTTTTGATGATAGCATAAAGGCAAGGCAGTGCTGAGGCATCAGTATCTACAGCTTGGGGCTCTGGCATTTTCTCAGTTTACCTCCTATGGTTTGCGTCACCACGCCTGCCAGAGTGTGCCAGACCTGGCCTGAGTTATGTTCGAGGATCAGAGGCCCCGGAGGGTGATGCGGGCCCTGACTTGTGTGGATCCCAGCCTGGGCCTCATGCTGGGGCGGCTGAGCCTTGACCAGACGCACAGGGCTCAGAGCCAGTGTCGGCCAGTTGATGTGAGAATCGGAAGCTGACTGTTCTCCATCTTTTACGGATGAGGACATTTATTAGCGTTTTTTTTTTACTGTGTGCACTCCGTGCGGCTGCAGAGATGAGGTAATGCCATCAGAATGAATGTTTTATTTTGTTGCCTTCTGAATGTGTGAATTTATGGCCTAATGCTGCATTGATGGCTTTTTTCCATTCCGTATAATGCGAGGTAATGATCATTTGCTTATTATCGGACTCATCTTTATGAGAAAACCTCCCCCGTGCCAAGTGATATTTCATGTGTGTGCCTGGAGAAAAGCAGCCAGACTGCTGTTAATGCGTTTCTGAAACTCCATATCGCAGCATCGGCAAACTGAAATAGGAGCTATTTGGTTCCACTTTGACAGTTTTCAGTGATTGTTTTATAAAAGTAGGCCATTCAAGGATGTTTTCAATGTGGATCGCAACTCGTTTTGGCACTGTTTGCTGAGCCATTCAGAGTAATTCAGTCCTCTCTTTGCGTCTTGAATAGTGGCCTAAAAAACAGCACATGGAATTTGACTTTTTAGTAGAGCTGTTCTGTGTTAGTGAGGAGATTTTTCTCAGATTTCTGCTTTTGAGGCCCCGTAAAGCAGAGTCAGTGAGGGTGGTTGTGCTCAGAAGCGTGGCCGCGTAGGAGCTCAGGGGCATCCAGCGCGCTGTGATGGGACGCGCAGTGACCCCGAGTCCTCTGATCTGCACAGCCTCACTTCTGGGCAGTGCCATGCAAGCCTGGTTTTCTCCGTAGTCGGACATGGGAAAGATCAGGAAACATGGACTAGCTGAAATACCCAGCCTTTGAGATGAAGCATCAGAGCACAG